GTTGTTTGATGTGTGCTTCAAATATTTTATATTTTTATTTATTTTCTATCTACTTATTTTATCAATTATTTAGAGAGGGATATTGAAATTTTAGACTTTAATTAGTAATTTATTTTTCTCTGCAGTTCTAGCATTTTTGCTTCATATATTTTGCAGCTCTGATATTAGGCACATATGCATTTAGAATTGTTATGTCCTCTTGTCGACCTCTTTATCATAATGAAATGAACTTTTTTATCTCTGGTAATATTGTTTGCTCCAAAAGCTACATTGTGTTATATTAATTTAAACACTCAGCTTTCTTTTGGTGAGTATTAGCATGGCAAAATTTTTCCTATCCTTTTACTTTTAACCTATTTGTGTCTTGATATTTAAAGTGTATTTCTTCTAAGCAGCATATAGCTGAGTCTTTCTAGATTAAAAAAAAATTTTTTATTGTTGTTGAAACCAATCTGACAATCTCTATCTTTTATTTGGGATATTTCAATTACTTATGTTTAAATGCAGTTGTCAACCTTCTCCAGGAAGGACATACAGAGAGTCCATAGACACATGAAAAGATGTTCAACATCACTAGCCATCAGAGAGATGCAAATTAAAACCACAGTGAGATACAACCTCACACCTGTCAAAATGGCCATCATCAACATATCAACAAACAACAAGTGCTGGCGAGGTTGTGGAGAAAAGGGAACCCTAGTGCACTGTTGGTGGGAATGCAGACTGGGGTAGCCACTGTGGAAAACAGTATGGAATTTCCCCAAAAAACTAAATATGAAACTACCTTTTGATTCAGCAATTCCACTGCTGGGATTATACCCTAAGAATCCTGAAACACCAGTTCAAAAGAACCTGTGCTCCCCAAGGTTCATAGCAGCATTATTTACAATAGCCAAGTGCTGGAAACAGCCTAAGTGCCCATCGATAAATGAGTGGAGCAAAAAACTGTGGTACATTTACGTAATGGAATACTACACAGCAGAAAGAAAACTCCTGCTCTTGGCGACAGTAGATGGACAGCAGGATGGAACTGGAGAGCGTTGTGCTAAGTGAAATAAGCCAGGGAGCAAAAGAAAGATACCGTATGATCTCACCTACAAGAGGAACCTAATGAACAAAACAAACAGGCAAAATAGTACCAGAGGCATGGAAACAAGGCATAACAGAGGGGGAGAGTTGGGGGAGGAGGAAGGAAGGGGAAGAGACTAGTTAAGGAACAAGTGTACAGGACCCGTGGACATAGACAATAGGGTGGGGACTGACTGTGGGAGCAGGGGGTGGCGTTGGGCGGTAGGCAGGGCAGGGGAGGGAAACGGGGGAAAATTGGAATATCTGTTATAGAACAACAATAAAAAAGAAAAGAAAAGCTCAGACAATTTTTTTTTAAAAGAAGGGGGAAAAAAACCCTCCATTCCCTCTTACACTTTGCAATTCTAAATTTTAGGCACATCATGATACACTGAGAAAATAGGCTAATTCTACTTAAATTTTAGCCATTGCAAAATTGTCCAGGTTTTTATTTGAATAGCAAGAAAAAGCAAAACAATGCCAACTACTTGCTACTATTTTCTTTGTAGAAATAGAGACAGGGTCAGTCTCTTGGGAGACATGAGTCTGAGATTTGTACAAATAAACTATGTGTGTTCTTATATAAAAAAAGAATAAATGCAGTTACCCATATAGTCAAGTTTAAATTTTTAAAAATTTTATTTTTCAGTTACAGTTTACACTTAGTATTAGTTTATTTTAGTTTCAGATTTACAGCATGGTACCTAAACAATTACACAATTTAGCAGGTGATCCCCCTGATAGTTCTAGTGCCCACCTGGCACCACACACAGTTCTCACCATATTATTGACTGTATTCCCTGTGCTGTACTTTACATCCCCGTGACTGTTTTGTAACCACCAATTTCTTAGTTAAGTTTAAAGTTATCATTTTTCTATTTATTTTCTATTTGTCTTATCAGCCCTTTCTTCCCCTTTTATTCTCTTTCTGCCTTCTTTTTATTTTATTTTATTTTATTTTTTCCCATCACCATTTCTCCCCGCATGCCCTTGTCCACCTCCACCCACCTCCTTCTGCCTTCTTTTAGATCAGTGATTTTCACCTTTTTTCATATTATGGCACACACAAACGAATTAATAAATACTATAAATTACTTTAATTGTTTTTTGAATGTTAAAACAACCTGTATTTCAGGGATAAACCCCACTATATAATGTATTATTCCTTTTATATATTGTTAGATTTGATTTGCAAAAATTTTGTTTAGAAATTCTAAACAAAACAAATTCTAACAAAAATTTTGTTAGAAAAATTCTATGGCATGTCAAAAATATATCATATTTTTGCTGGCCTGCCAAAAAAAAAAAAGTATAATTTTGATTCATTCACACCAGACAGCTATTGTTGTGTTGACTGCTGTCATTTTTTAATTTGACAGTCTAAGGGAAAAGAGGTCAGTGCCCCTGACTCAAAGTCAGGCAATGTGAGAGAGAAAGAGAAACATTTATCAGTTGCCTCCTCCTGGATGCATGCCAACAAGGGATCAGGGATCAAACCTGCAACCTAGGAATGTGCCCTGACCAGACATGGAACCTGCAACCTTTTGGTGTACGGGATGATGCTCCAACCAACAGAGCCACTCAGCCAGAGCTGTTGCATGTTCTAAAAAAATTTTATGGTACACCAGTGTGCCTGTTGTGGCATACCAGTTGAAAATCGCTGTTTTAATTAATTAGATGTTTTTTATGATTCCATTCTCAGCTTTCTTCTTTGTTGGCTTATTAGCTATAAGTCATTTTGTGTTAATTAAGCGATTGCTTTAGGTTTTGTAACATGCATCTTTAATTTACCAGTTTATCTTCAAGTGATGTACCACGTTACAAATAAGAGCCTCACAATAATACACTTCCATTTCTCTCCTCCTGACCTTTGTGCACTTTGTTACATTTACTTTTTCATATGTTATAAAGTCTATATTTCATTGTTATTATTTTTATTTAATCTGTCATTTATCTTTCAAAGAGATCTGAATAATTGGAAGTTCTTCAGTATTTACCTATGTGTACAGTTAGCATTTCTCATGCTCACCATTCTTTCATGTAGATTCACCTTTCTCTCCAGCATCATTTCCCTCTGCCCAAAGGACTTCCTTTAACATTTCTTGCAATGCAGATCTGCTTGCTGGTGATGGACTCTTTCTCATTTTGCTTGTCTTAAAAAGCATTTGTTTCACTTCCATCTTTGAGCAGTATATTTATTGGGTACGGAATTCTAGCTCGACAGCTTTTTTTTTCCTTCAGAACTTTAACAACTGTGCTCCTTCATCACTCTCTTCTCACCTGCATTGTTTCTAATGAGAAATATGATGTCTTTCTTACTTTGGTTCCTCTCTACATGTTTTTCCTCCCTCTGGTTCCTTTTAAGATTTCTTCTTAAAAACTCTTAATCACTAGTTTAAATAAATTTATAATGTCCCTTGTTCAGATTTCTTATCTGGGGACTCATTGAGCTTCTTGGGTCTGTGGATTTATAGTTTCTATCAAACTTGTAATAATTTCAGCCATTGTTCCTTCAAAAAATTTTTGACCCCTCTCTCTCTTGTCTCCTTCAAGGCTTCAATTACAAGTATAAATATGCTGCTTCAAGTTGTCCCACAGCTCACTGATATCTGTTTTTTGTTTTGTTTTGTTTTTAATTCTCTTTTCTCTCTTCATTTTATTTTCGATAATTTTGATTTCTTCGATTCAAGTTCACTAATCTTTTCTTCTGCTATGCTAATCTGCCAATAATCCTGTCCATTGTATTTTTCATTTCATGCATTTTGGCTTTTATTTCTAGAAGTTTAATTTGGATCTTTTCAATATCTTTTATTCTCTGTCTAACATTTTGAACATATGGAATACAATTAAAGTAACTATCTTAATGTCCTCATCTGCTTATTCTAATATCTGTGTAAGTTATGGATTGGCTTCAATTGATGATTTATCTACTAATGATGAGCAGTTCTTTCCTCCTCCTTTCTTTTCCTGGTAATTTTTGATTGAATGCCAGGCCTGGGGATTTTTACTTTATTGGTTGCTGAGTATTCCTGTATTTCTATAAGTATTCTTGAGCTTTTATTCTGGGACCAGTGAAATTATTTGATCCTTTTGGGGTTTGCAGAACCAGAGTGATGCTCAACCTAGGGCTAATTATGCCCCACTGCTGAGGAAATGCCTTCCCCTCCCAATGCCCTTGTGTCTCCAGATCATCCAGCCTGGCTGGTGGGCACAGTCACTCTTCCAAGCCCCGTGTGAGCACCGTGACCTCAATCTTTTGAATGCTCCTTTGTCCCTCACTTTGGGTAGTTTCCTCTCACATCAGTGCTGACAAGCACTCAGTTGAAAGCTAGAAGGGGACACTCTACAGACATTTGGATCTCCCTCTCTGTGCAGGTCTCTCCTCGCTGGTGCTCTATGAACTCCCCTGTCTACTTTCCCAGCAGATGAAGGTCCATGGTGGAGAGGATGCTCTTAGCACTTCTAGCATCAGTAGACTTGTCTCATCCAATGATTATGAAAACAAAAGCAGAACAAATTACTAAAGGGAAATATGATTTCAGCCCTCTAAAATTTCCTATCTAACACTAAGAGCAATCATTTCCTTGAAAATAACTATAGTCTATGGGCTGTGTTAATGCTCCTAGGTATCATTTATCCAATGAGCTCCTTGTTATTGCCACAAGCTATGTGTTATTTAGGCAATAATTGATGAGGAACAAACCTTTGTTTAGATTAAAACTTCAAAGTGGAAAAAAAGGGCAGTGGTTAGGTTTTAGGTATCTTGGTGACTCTTGATTTCTGCTACAGCTCCAGACACCTGGATAGATGTCCCCTGCAGTTTTTCATGACCCACACCCTTAGGATTCTGATGGGGTGGAAATGGGAAAAGATGACTGTGGACCATGAGGAGGCCAGTGCCAGGTAATGGACACCCTGTTTCCCACCCACAGGTGCTTTTTTCATCCCCTATCTCATCTTCCTTTTCACCTGCGGCATTCCTATCTTCCTCTTGGAGACAGCACTGGGCCAGTACACGAGCCAGGGAAGCGTCACAGCCTGGAGGAAGATCTGCCCCATCTTTGAGGGTGAGTAGCTGTGTGCCTGATTCCAGTGTATCCGCGCTTGGGATTAGAGACCTTACTTGAATTGACGGGGTGGTTTAGCAGCCATGCTGACTGAGTAACTCTGTCCGTTTATGAGCCCAATACCGAGCTAATCACCCAGTCCATCAGAGTGTGGAGAAGATGATGATGAGGATGGGTCAAAGGCTTTAGGTTAAATAAGGAGAGTGCAAAGCTATTTTAGTTACATATTTTTAAAAGCATATAACAATGATTTGTATTTTCAAAATATATTTAATCAATTAGAAAACATTTTAAAAGAGAATTTTAAGTGAAAAAATACCATTATTAATTCTACCATCTTGATACAACAGCTATTTAAAATTTAGGATCTTTTAGTTCAAGTTTTTTTCTATGTAGGATTTTCTTAAGTTTCTATTTTGAAATAATTATATGTTTACAGAAAGTTACAAAAAAAGCACAGAAAGGTCATGTGTACCTTTCACTTGTTTTCCCCAATGGTAGTATCTTACATAACTATTGAATAATATCACAACCTGGAAATTGACATTGGTACTAACATCCATAGATGTCATTGAGATTTCACCAGCTTTCCTTGGACTCATTTCTATAATTCTGTGTCATTTTAACACGCTATGTGTGTGAATTTGTGTAACCGCCACCGCAATCAAGATACAGAACTGGCCCATCTCCCACAGACCCCTGTCGTGCTACTCCTCTATAGTCATATCGCCGCTCCCCACCGGCCCTACCTCTAGCTACCACTAATTTGTTCTCTATCTCTAGAATTTTTTCATTTTGAGAATGTTGTATAGGTGGAAACATACAAAATATAACCTTAAGAGGTTGGCTTTTGCACTCAGCATGATGCCCTTGATATTCATCCAGCCTATTTTTGTAACAATAGTGCACCCCTTTTTATTGGTGAGTACTATTCCTTGGTATGGATAGATCACAGTTTACTTAACCATTCACCCATTGGAGAATATTTGGATTGTTTACAATTTGGGGGGGAGGAGGTTATTTCATTCTTTCTGTCTATAGGAGGTTTACATATCTATTAATATGGAAACAGTCTATATCTCTGTTTTATAGTTAGTATTATTTTCCATTTTCTACACAATTATTGAATGATTATATAAGCTTCCATCAAGTAGATATATCATAATTTACTTAACTATTTGTTTTGGGATTTTCCTATGTTCAAGCACTTACAAAATTATTACATTCTGCTAGTATGTATATTTGCTGAGACAGATCCCCCTTGCCTTTTGGGGAATTATTTCTTTGGTGTAAATTTGCAGGATTAGGATCACTGGATCAGATGGATGATCAAGTTGATGCCCCTTAATATGGCTTATTAAATTGTCCTGTGGAAGTGTTATACTGACTTACAATGTCACTAGACGTGAGTAGGGATCTTTCCCGAATGTCTTTAACAACTCTGAGTTATGTGTGGTTCCCAAACTTGTCTGATATTGGGACCACCTGGGGACCTTCAAAACATCCTGAGGTCTGTACCATACCCTCAGATTGATATTTAATTGGTCTAGGGTATGGTACAGGCTCTGGAATTTTAAAAATATCCCCCAGGTAATTTTAATATGAAGACAAGTTTAAAATTTATTGAGTTATATGATTTGTAAAAGGCTGAGGGAGCACGCACACTCCTGCCTGCTGGGGAGGGAGGGGAGAGAGCAGGCGCCCAGGCTCCCGCACTTCTTGTTTTAGGGCACGGACTGTGGAACACAGACCCGCTCCGAAGCAGGGGCAGGGGGAGTGTGTGCTGCGCAGTCTGTCTATTGTCCCTAGCTCAATTCTGCTCTGTGCCCCTGCAGGCATCGGCTATGCCTCGCAGGTGATCCTCATGCTCCTCAACACCTACTACATCATTGTCCTGGCCTGGGCCCTCTTCTACCTCTTCAGCAGCTTCACCATCGACCTCCCCTGGGGAAGCTGCTGCCACGAGTGGAATACAGGTGAGGTCACTTTTGAGTTTGTTTCCTCCTGCTGCTCTGCCACATGAGCCAGGGTTACAATGGTTCCAATATCCCAGGCACCCAACTTCCCAGTCATAATGTAGGGCCCACTAGAAATCTGCCAAGTGAATCATGGAGATACTACACGAAAGATGAGAGTGAGATTTCGCCAGCATCACAGGCAAAATGTCAAAGAATTTTTTAAAAATGTATTCAATACATGTATTATGAATTCATGTATTATATAGATAGAACTGTTTATGTAGTTTAGCTATTTATTTATCCCAGTTTGAAATATTGTTAGTGTGCTAGATTATGTATATACTGTTTGTTCATTTTTGTTTCTCATGCTTTCTGTCTGATACTATTTTGGGTCTTTGCAACTCACAACTCATCTGAATTTAGCCAGGAAATAAGCTGTCTTGTACGTCATCGATATAATTTGTAAGAACAATTAATTTTCTCTTGTGCCTGTAGAACTACAGGAGCCACCTGTGGCAATAGATCTGCTGACTCTAACAAACTGAAGTAACAAAAACTTAAAAATACCTGGGGTAGTGGTATCCAAAAGAACTTTCTGAGATGCTGTACTCTCTGAAACAGGAGCCAACGTGTGGTTATAGAGCACTTGAAATGTGGCTAGTGCATGTGAAGAACTGAGTTTTTTAAATTTTTATTTATTTTAATTAATTTAAACACGAAGAGCCACATGTGGCTGGTGGCCACCCTTGGACAGCGCAGATGAAGAGCATCCTGGACACACGTCCTGTTTGGGTGTCAGCACCGCATCTTGCACTCACAGCCACATACCTTTCAAGGCCTGTCAGTGAGGCCCTACCTATGCCAGGATTAATGTTTCTTGTTCAGATAAGTTACTCAGTTCTGAACTGGAGTTTGAACCTTTTCCTGGCCAGGGAGGCACATTTCAGCAATGGATCGCGTCATATTCAAGGTGCCTCTTGTCCTCAAACTTTCTGCTCCCTTTCTACACACACATTCCCAGGCTGATCTCCGCTACCATCCCCATGCCACCATTTTTTCTCTTTTTTTAAAGATTGTATTTATTTATTTTTAGAGCGAGAGGAAGGGAGGGAGAGAGGGGGAGAAAAATATCAATGTGCAGATACCTCTCGCGTGCCCCCTACTGGGGACCTGGCCTGCAACCCAGGCACGTGCCCCTACTGGGAATTGAACTGGAGAGCCCTTGGTTCGCAGGCCGGCAGTTAATCCACTGAGCCACACCAGCCAGGGTTCCATGCCACTGTTTTTCAAATGAAATTCAAATCTTAGAGGTACTTCCCCTGCTGCCCCAAGGTCCATTGGGTTCTTGGTAAAACCTGCGCTGACCCCTGGTACTGCTGTGGCTCCTACATGCTTTTTGTCTGTCGGTCTGGTTTTCCCACATATCAGCAAGAGCTTGAAGGCAGAAAAGATGTCTTTATCTCTATAGCCTTTGTGCCTAGCACAGTGCTGGCTACATCATAAGCACTCAAAAATATTTGTTGGATGAATCAAGTTTTAAATATATGTTATATTCTAATATTTTCTTTATATGATCTATTTTTTCCTCCCTCCCTCCCTTTATTCCTCCTTTCCTTCCTTTTCTTTTTCCCTCCCTTCCTTCCATCTATGGGCACTGAAATCACACCTGACAACCAGCTTGTCAGACCGTGATTTTATCAGATCTCAGTGGAGTTCCTCTTGCAAAACGTGTGAGTGTTCGGTGGCCTAGGACTTGTGCTTTAGGCCTGACTCTGGGTTGATTGGAGAGGGGTTATCTCTGAGACAATTCTGAGGCAAATGCAATACCCAAGTGTTTTGTTTTGTGACATTTTGGACATTTCTCCTAGTGAGTCTGGTTTTACTCTGAGCCTAGCATCTTGAATTCCTTAGGACACCCTGTCCCGTCAAGATGTAGCACTTTTCTTGGTGCATTGAAGCTTCAAGGAAAGTGCCATGTCTTGTGAAAAGAGTGCTCAATTGTCATTGTCATTCGACAGATACTGTTGAGCTCCAACTACGCCGGGCTCTGTTCTAAGAACCTGGGATGTGCTAAGGTACAAAAACGAAGGTCCCTGCCTGCATGGTGTTGTCATTCTAGTGACAGGAGACAGACCAAAACACAAATAAGTGAGTAACAGGTGTCATGTTAGAAGAAGCGTTGTGGGGAAAAATAAAACAGGGAGGAGGTTTTGGGAGTTTTGGGGGGTGTAATTTTTTTTAAAAAGATTTATTTATTTTATTTTTAGAGAGAGGAGAAGGGAGGGCGAAAGAGAGAGAGAGAGAGAAACATCAATGTGTGGTTGCCTCTCAAGCGCCCTTCACCAGGCACATGCCTGCTTTGCTGGCTAGGTTCTTAGCAACCTAGGCATGTGCCCTGACTGGGAGCTGAACTGGTGACCCTTTGGTTCACAGGCTGGCACTCCATCCACTGAGTCACACCAGCCAGGGCTGGGGGGTGGAATTTTAAATGGGTCATGAGCAAAGGCTTTGCTGAGAAGATGACATGAGTAATGATGTAAAGGAGGGTGGGAAGGGAGCTGCTGAAATACCAGGAGATAGACACTATGGCCCTGGGGTACCAGAGCCTTTAGCACCCAGGGAACAGCAAGGGGTCCATGTAACTGGAGCAGGTAAGGAGCAGTGGGAGGTGAGGCCAGAGGTGAGTAGGGCCTTGGAGGTGATTGTAGGGGTTTTGGCTTTTTCTGTCTTCGTGAGATAGGAAACGCATTGGAGAGTTTTTCACTGGGATGTGACATAAAATGTGACTTAAATTTTAACAATACCACTCTGACTGCTACATGGAGAGCTGGCCAGGGAGGCAAGAGTAGTGACCGGAAGGCAGCTGGGGAGGCAGGAGGTGATGGCAACATGCACCAGGGTGGTGGTGGTGAAAATGAGAAAAATCAGATTCTACATATTTTGAAGATAGAACATATACACAACTCACTGGGCTGGATTCTAGCCCTTGCTTTGTCACTTATAAGCTAAGCGGCCATTTCTAAGCAGACACACTTTCTCCATGTATACAATAGGGAAAACACTGTCTTAATTTAAAAAAAACAAATTTAAGACTTTATTTATTTATTTTTAGAGAGGGGAAGGGAAGGAGAAAAACGTCAATGTGTAGTTCCCTCTCACATACCCCACCACTGGGGACCTGGCCCACAACCCAGGCATGTGCCCTGACTGAGGATTGAACAAGTGACCCTTTGGTTCGCAGGCCTGCACTCAATCCACTGAGCCACACCAGCCAGGGCTGTCTTAATATTTTTGAAGAGTATTTCACTAATAAAATGTGAAAAACACTGTGAACACTCTTTGTGAAACTCCAAAGTCATATACAAGCAACTAAGAGCCACTGTTTATTGAGTACTTTACAGAAGTGTTTTCCTTTAATCCCCTATCAGTCCTACAAATGGATATTCTCTCCGTTTTAGACAGGAGGGGTATGAGGTCTGGAGGGACACACAGGGAATAACTGGAGGGCCAGGACGTCAGGCAGAGCTTTCCTGCACCTGTCCCTCTGCGCTTTAGCAACTTGGCCACATCACTTTCCTGGAAGGTTTCTTACTATTCCTCAAAGGTGGTGACTTTATACACAACAGTTACCTGGAGATATTTGTATACTTTAAGCAGATGGCTTAAAAATCCTGATGCCATCTGATCATGCTTTAATAAGAATATGACCTCAAACATTCAAAAACTGATGAATAAAAGCCTATGGGAGAGGGTGACATAGATTTGCTGAGGCTGTATGCTTAAGGTTTTGCATAGATACCTTCAGCCCGGTTCCTTCCAGACACCTTACTTCCATCCTCCTGAAATTTCACACCAAGTACTGGCTAACAATTTTTCTTTTGCTTCCTTCCCTGGGACCCATGGGTAGAACACTGTGTGGAGTTCCAGAGGATCAATGGCTCCCTGAATATGACCTCTGAGAATGCCACCTCTCCTGTCATTGAGTTCTGGGAGTAAGTGAGGCCCTTTTTTTTATTCCATTGTGGGCTGTGTGCTTGAAGGAAGGGTGCACGGGTGGGTTCGTGCAGTGGTGACTCTAAATGGATAACAAGGGAAGAATTTCTGTTGCCTTCTTTGGGGGCCCTGTCACTGAAGTGGCTTTTTTCTGTTGTGCCTGTATTCGTGGTTAATGCACGACTGATTTCAGAGATGAGAATTTGGCAGCTCTCCTGCCTTTCCTCGCCCACATGCCTGCCCCCATGTTAGACAGTACATACATACACACACACACACACGTGTGTGTTCACACTCCTAACCACTCTCCTCTCTTCAGCTGCACGGACATTGTCTCTTATCTTCCCCTCTCTCTAATACTGCTACTCACCTAGGGCATGATTCCTAATATCAAAATATCCTAATACCCTGGTTGAGAAAATATGTGTTCGCACCTCCTTCTCTAGGTTAAATTGGTACTCAGCCTCCCAGAGCAAACTTACTTGGGAACAGTTTATATTTGCCTCCCTTTATCTCTACCCTGTCTCTGGGCAAAGGAGAGCCTCATGGGTTTGGACAAAAAGAGTGGACAAGCCGTTGGACAAGAGCCTGGAGGCAGGGCTCTGCTGCCTGAGCCGCGTGGGCTGCGAAATGGAGGCCGGCAGCGAGAGTGGAGCCCGTTTTACTTTCTCTCCCCAGGAGGCGAGTCCTGAAGATCTCTGATGGCATCCAGCACCTGGGAGCCCTGCGCTGGGAGCTGGCCGTGTGCCTCTTGCTTGCCTGGGTCATCTGCTACTTCTGCATCTGGAAAGGGGTCAAGTCCACGGGCAAGGTTCATGCCGGAGAGTCCCTGGCCCTTTCATCCCGGGACTCCCTGCCTTCACTGGGTGTTCGGTCCCCTGGCAGTTCCCTAAATTGTGCCCTGGCCAGTGGGAGGGAATGACCCCATGGAGATTTCCTTGACTCTGTGCCTCTTCTGGGTTCAATCCCAAATTCTTCTGGTCTTTGGGGGAAAGTAAAAGGAAGAGAGAGAGAGAGAGAGAAAGGACACTTCTAGAGGAATTTGCTCTTGGAATATACCACATATGTGGGCACATTGCAAAATGAACAGAGTTCATAGCTTCCTAGTTTGTTCAACATTTCTTTGGGGGGAAAAAAAAATGCCATTAAGACCATTAGTCTCAAAATGATTCTTAGTCAATCCAAGAAGTTGGGAGGACCCTTGCCTCGAGTGTATGAGGTGTTAAGAGGGCATTCTGAGTTCTTCTGGACTCTCGTCCTGGAGACCTCTGCCAAGGCTTCCTTTCTAATCTGGCTGCCTGGTTGCACTGAGCTTGTAAGCTCTGTGGGGATAGCGATCATGTGTTGCAGATCTTTTCATACCTGACAACCCTTGCCATAATTCCAAGCATAGCTATTAGTCTAAGTTCATTCAGTCACTTGTCAAATACTTACTGGCTCTGCGTCGGGGCAGGGGGAGTGCTTGAGGCTGGAGGGAGTAGGGAGCGGAGAGGCTGTGGGCTCCCAGCACAGGGGAGGTGGTGCTGCACAGCTGCTGGGGTGAGGGGGCAGGAGCAGGTGAGAAACTCCTGGGGTCTCTCCTGCAGGTGGGAGCTCCTGGCCCTGCCTCACTGCTGGGTCTCCGGCCCCCTCCCTCCTTGCTCATGAGTCTCTTTTCTCTCATCTGCCCCTTGGCCAGGTGGTGTACTTCACAGCCACATTCCCTTACCTCATGCTGGTGGTCCTGTTGATTCGAGGGGTGACACTGCCTGGGGCCGCCCAAGGGATTCAGTTTTACCTGTATCCAAACCTCACCCGCCTGTGGGATCCCCAGGTAAGAAGCCACAGACAAGGGCTGTCACGTGGCTCTGGAGGTGCTTGGGCTACAGACCTTCCCTGCGCCCTTGGGCCATCCCTGCGGTGGATGGGGAGGGTCTCAGACATCTGTTAGCCGCTGTTTGCAGTCCCCCCCTTGGCTCATAGCTGCCAGGAAAGCCAGAGGGCCCTGAGGCCTAGTAATATTTCTCAGGGGCAGCAAATTCATCACTAACAGATTTTATTCAGGGGCTGGACCCTTTCCCCATATCTACCCATCCCCTTTTTGCATTTTTTCCCTTGGCAATCTTATTTCACACCTCGCTTCCCCTCTCTTTCTTAACCTCCCACCAGCCCTGCCTCAGTCCCCCCTCTGTCAGAAGGCCCATTCCTAGGCCCAGTGCTGGCAGGGCTGGGTCGAATTTCCTGCCAGTTGTGCAGAGGCCCCAGCCTCTTCCCTCCCCTCAGCGAGCTTCTGGGGGCCCTGTCAGGGAGCTGGCAGTGCTGCTTGCTGACTGGAAGGGCTTGCAAAGCAGGGCTTGAGAGGAGAAGCCACTGCCTCTGATGGGTTTCTTATCCTCTCCTGTTTGGCAGCCATTTTGAAAGTTGGCAAAGTTAGGAGGCATCGAGGGCTGGAGAGTGTGGCTCAGCTCCCCACAGAGCCCCTAAGATGTGTCACCCAGCTTCATGCCCTTCCTCTGCCTCCCTTTGTGGTGGAGAAGGCTCTTCTCTGTCTACACCAAGGGACCCGAGGAGACTGAGGGCTGGAAGTGCCCAGGACAGAGAAGATAAACAGATGAATGGCTGGGCAAACATTTTAAATAATAAGGTACCAGCACAGTCACTGAAATTGCTGAGTGGGAGCAAAAGTAAAGAGAGTGGCACTTCCTCAGTCCCCCTATGGCCAGGACTCAGCAGAGGCAATGGCTCCCCTTTGTGCAGAATTTGGGGTGATTTAGAAGCTCAATTACTCTGAGTCTCCCACCCTGAGATTCTACCAGGGCTGCCAGGGCTCCTGTAGTCTGAAACATCCTCATGGAGCCAAGTAGCCTAGTGTCCTGGGTATTTCTCCATGATCTTCTGGTGGGACATGAGCTTATCCTTCTCCTCTCCAATTGCTTAGACATAACAGCGAGACAGATGGCTGCTGCGTCACCTCCAGGCGGGGCACAGGGTTGTAGTCAGGCTTTGGTGTCAAACTGTAGAGCCACAGCCATTTGAGTTAAAAGGGCTCCAGAGGCCATCCAGTGCAAACTCCTCATCGCACAGGGGAGCAGACAAGGCCCAAGGTCACACAGCAAGTGGCAGGCCAAACAAAGGGTATTTTTATTTTGCGAATCATAAACCCTTTGGCTTATCTGGAACCAAAGAGTGGTGATGGAGAGTAGGTGGCAAGCAGGAGGTTGTGGGGCAGCAGGGTTGAGGGAAGGCTTTGAAGGACAGGGGCGGAGTTTGGCTTGGATGCCCTGTGCAAGAGGGAGCATCGTGGTTCTGGAGCAGCAGAGGTGCGAACCCGCATGTGGCTAAGCCGCAAAGCCTCCCTTTGATTGGCATCAGGCTGGGAAAGGGCGGGGCGGGCGGGGGGCAGGCACGTTCAGGCCAGGAGACAAGCAGGTAGGCTGAGAGAAGAAGGAGAGAAGGTCCAGTATTTCTGGAACTGATTTATGGCCTCTGTGATCAATGCCTTGTTTGTCCTGATCAGCGATTTATAGCTGCTAACAGCTAGTGAGTGCTGACAGTGTCCCTGGCATTAATAGGTTTTACATGTGTTATCTCAGCTGATCCTCACAGCAGATCAATGAGGTATCCTTATGTTGTGGATAAGGAAATTAAGGCCAAGAGAGCTTAAAGAATTTTACACCCTCCCACCTGCACCTGGAAGCTAGGTCTCAACGATGAAAATTCCACACACTTTGAAGGCAAAGTCCCCATTTCTATATATATCTTCCAGCAAATATAAAGAAGGTGAACCAGAGGGGGCTTTCAACTGTGAGAGTTAATAAGGCCACAATTCTATGTCTGGATTACTGTATGGGATAAGACCCCTTTTAAATCTACTCTCCGGGATATCGACCTTCGAACCCCAGCCAAGCTGTAGGCTGTGCAGAGGATATATGTCTTCCAAGTCCTCTGAGGCTGATGGAGGCTGATGTTTCAAGAGCCAGGCTTTGTCCTGAGCTTTCGAGCCGCCTGCCTCACTAGCTGCCTGGTCCTGGTCCCATGCTGAAGCGAGACCGTTGCTGCTTGCGAGCAGAGCAACCCCTGCGAGGGGGCTGCCCGGGCCAGAGCACTAATCGATGTAGTTGGCTCTCCCCAGGAGGTGTGATAATTCCAACTGGCGTCTGCCTGGCCCTTAAGAATGGTGCAAAATTCCTGCCAGCCAACACAAAGACCAAAGACATCTCTCTGGCAAGCACTCAGTGTGGGAGTAAGGAGCCTGGCAAGGACAGGCTGGGTTATCTGGTTTCCTCTTCTCCTTCTGCCAGGCTTTCTCTGTGCCAGGAGGCTTGCTTTCTGCGCTGGTGCTCCCCGGGGCTGTCTCTTTCACATGGGTAATGGCCACAGGAGGCTCAGGACCCCCTCGTGCAGTGTGGGTTTTGTTTAGACACTTGCGTGTTTCCTTTTGTCCATCCTGCTGCGCTTTGGGAGATTGATGAGGGCAGGGCTGGGGTGGGGGGGGGGGGGGGTGAGGGGGTGTGCAAAGAGCCTTTGTGGAACTTTTTAAATCTCTATGCTAAGCTATTCTAATGAAGGATTTATTTAGGGAGGAGGTTGGCACCATCGATTAGAATGAGTTTTTCTGTTTTGATAACTGTACACTGAAATCCGTGGGGAGTGATCAGCACTGAAAGGTGGGTTGCTTTTTTAAAATAACCCAGAGACAAACAGCAGCAATAGCTGACACATTGATCATGGGTTTATCATTTGCCAGGCACTCTACTCAGTGCGTGACACAGTGTGATCCTCCCACTAACCCTGGGAATTAGGGGTTAGCCTCATTTTACAGATGAAGAAACTGAAGCTGAGACAACTGAAGAAATTTGCCCCAAACCACAAAACTAGCGTGTGGGGGAGTTTGGGTTTCATCCCAAGTAGTCTTCTAGACTCTGCTGTCTTAATCACCATGATATTCATTTTCCAAAGAATATGAATTATTTGAGAGTTTTAAAGGCTGTTTTAAAAATTATTCTAGAAGGTGGGATAGGGAACTAATATTTATGTGTAAGGCATTTTATGTACATTATTTTATTTATTCTTATATCCATTTTCTTGAGAGAAAAGTAAGGCTCAGAGAGGTTAAGGGACTGACTTGCCTCAGATCACACAGCTAGTAATTAAGAGTTAGTCATGGAACCCAGTTCATTTTGACTCCAAAGTCCCTGCTTTTTCCATTACACACTATGGCTTCCTAAAAACAGTAAATATAATAATCTCTAGGGTTGGACTCCAGAAATTTGAAAGCTGAAAATGTCTTTCCTGGACCTTCTAGAGCTCTGTACCCCCAGAGAATTATTTTTTGTCCGCATTCCATCAGGTGTTTTTCACACTTGTTTTATTGTTGATTCGTCTTATGCCTCAGCCAAAGACATGTTGGAGCTTCATTCCAGAAACCGGGGCTCCTGGCACGGGCAGGGAGCGGGGCTCCTGTGGTGGGAACAGGACAGCTTGCGCTGCTGGTTCCTTCAGCCCTTCTCCTGACCCCCTCCCGCCCCCCCCCCCGCCCCCCGATCCCAGCAGGCTTGTCAGGCAGCAGCTGTGCCGAGAGCTGGGCCTTGCCAAGCTCCCAGTGAGGGGGCCTTAGTCAGAGGCGTCCTGATCCTCGCACTCTGAACTCTCAGCTCCCTGCTGCATTTTTCTCTGTTCTCATTCACCTCTCCTCCCAACTCGGTCTCAGTGTGGCCCCCTCAGGGTGAGGGAAACTGCCAAATCACAATTTTTCTTTGCAAGCCCAAGTTTACAGAACTTTATAATCACAGGATTTGTGCCCCTCTGCCAGCATGTGGGCGTCGGGGTCCAGCTGCACCCTGTGCGCTGACAGGCACACAGAGCAAACATCCTGGGCTTGGGAAAGTTCACCTAATCTCATGACGAAGTGAGCCCCCAGGCAGATAAGCATCGCGCCCAGACCCTCATCTCTGACCCTGGAACAAATCCATGCTGTGCAAGCTCAGAGCTGCTTATAACCCACTGAGTGAGCGGGAAGGAAACAGAACAGAGTGAACTTCAGACCAGAGGTCAATGAGCTTTCCTGAGAGGACCACCCTTACAGTAGTATCTGGGGCGAAGTTTTAGAGGAAAAAGTGACTTAAAACATTTCCTCAAACTTTTTGTGGCATCACACTGAGTTTTGTAAACACCCCCATTCTTGTCTGCAGGTTCTTTCTTTTCATTCCTACCCTATCCTCCTTTCCTTTGGAAATAAGTCCTGATGACCCCTTCCTTTCCTATTATAATTTCCCTCAAGTTAATAAAAGTCCCTAGGTGTTTCCACTCTGCGTGCTATTTCTCGCCGGCTGGCCCCTTCCGGGTCTGCCCTTTTCCTTGGTGGCAGCTTCTGCCTCACAGAATTCCTTGGGGATGAAAGTCACAGTGAGCAGAAGGGACAGGAGGCTAGAGACATTCTCCCCCTCTTTTTTCACCACCTGTCCCTGCTCTCTTCCCCTTCCTGCAGGAATGGGAATACAACAGGAGGAGCGAGTGCCCGGGTGGGTCTCTGATGCCAGGTGCGGCAGCTGGGTGGGGGTGGGGGGTGCCGTCGGGTGGTGATTTCAGCACCTGACTATTCAGTGGGACCACCCAGGAAGCTCTGAACATGGTGCAGATTTCTGGGTTCTCCTTTAGCTCTAGAGATTCAGTGTCTCAACTGAGGGTGCTGGTAGAGGACCCAATGAGATTCTGAGGTAGTCAGCTTGCCAGCGGTCCCTGAGACCCACTCTAATGCTGAGTAAAATGGCACCTTGGTGGGGTGAGTGTGACATGGGGGAGGGCAAGTGAGGCTGAGGGCAGTGGCGATGGTTAGGGAGGCAGGCAGAGACAGGTAAGGGGCCGAGGAGCTCTGGAGAGAAGGAAGCAGAGGCTTTTGGTGTGTCAGGAGCATTGGGAGGCTGATATTAATGAAAGGAAAGTGGGCACCTACGTGGGAGCTACTGACGCAGAGCCAGGCAACAGACAAGACACGGGGAACACAGGGCTGTTGGGGCAACTGCTGCTGATTTCTGCTGCATCCGGAGCCCGGTGCTCCCTTGGAGAGCGCTCATCCTCCAGAGGCAGGAGGTGCCTGGGGAGGGTCTGTAGCCCCAGGACCCCACTTCCTGCCAATCTACAGGGTTGCCTAGTCCTGTTTGCCTTGATGTTCTTTCTCTTTGGGCTGTTATTCTAGCTGTTAAACCTAAATCATAACATGCACAGCCTGGGTCGGCAGCTGAGATAATAACAGTAACAACTGTAACCTGTGTTTAGCTGGAGAGCTCTTCTCCCCCAAGGAGTACAAAGCACTTTCCCGATGCATTTCTGTTCCTCCTCTCGACTTTCTGTGAGTAGAGGATTGCTCTTCCTGTTTTTCAGAGGCTTTTGAGGCACGAGGGGCAAAGCTGCATGCCATGATAGCACCAATAAGGACCAATAACCCTAGAGATCCTGTCTCTGGATTCCTTCCAAACTGGTCACACCACCAGGAGAGCCCAGGCCAGGAGAGAGTGGAGGCAGAATCCGGGCTTCATGGCCATGATAACGTGGGGCCAGGCCTGGCTTAGCTCTAGGGCACCCTCCCACTCCTCGCCCTCCTCCGCCGTGGGTCCTTTAGTCTTCTCTGCATGCCTAGCACTGAGCAACGCCTTCAGGGGCCCAGGAAGTAGGGCCCACTGGGTGGCAGGGGGGTGCGGGGTGTGCCCAGGCTGAGGGCAGGGTTCTTGCTGCCCCATACCAGAGCCTGGTTCAGCCATGGGCCTTGTGCTCCCTCGGAACCCAGGTGCCCTGGCTTCTGGGGTGCAGTTTCCTTGCCTTTTCCCTGTGCAGGTGTGGATGGACGCAGGCACCCAGATCTTCTTCTCCTTCGCCATCTGTGTAGGGTGCCTGACAGCCCTGAGCAGCTACAACAAGTTCCACAACAACTGCTACAGGTGACCGGGGGTCTGAGCCACAAACCGACCTCTCTCTACTGTCCCTCCAGCCGTGCTGGGTCAGGGGTGATTTGGATCGGGCACCAGCTCATGGATATACCCGCTCCCACCCTTCAGCCCACTCTCTAGTACTCCAGGGCTGCCAGTTGCCGAAAGGGGCCCCCTGCAGCATAGACAAACAGCTGGGGAAGCGGAGCAGGGCCCAGCCCGGGCCCTGGCTACCGCAGAGGAGATCGGGCTCAGGGGTGTCAGCAGGCCGGGGAAGTAGGTAGCCGTGTCATGCGACAGGGCCTCAGCCGGACTTGCTTTGCACATTTGCTCCAGCAAACATGGGCTCCTTCCGCACTTTCCTTCTCCTTCTGCCAGCTGGTGTCCCCTCCGCACAGTTCCCTTGGCCTGCCAGGTTCATATCAGAGAACTTAAGCCAATTTTAATATTAGCCCAAAATATCATATCATGACTTTTGGAATCAAATTTAGGTAACTAAGAATTATGGGTGGCTTAGGATTATCCAGGCCTACATCCTCGACATTAGCACGCCACACCAAACTATGTCAGTGTGACGGTGTCCCAAAGGTGTGGTGACAATATGGCAGGGAAGGGAGGCTGTGTGGCCGTTTGTAATTTTTAGATTAGTATTTCACTGCCTTGGAGCCTCGTTCTTTTAGGACGACCGTGATTTATTCCAAGGCTGAGCTGATGGAGTGAGGGGAGCAGAACCACCCCTGAATGCTCATCTTAATTCTGCCAGGCAGCGCCCCCTGACCTACCTGCTGGGAGGGCCCAGGCTCCCCTGCGGTTGCTGTTGGGTCTGGCCTGTAGGCCTGAGATGCTGCAGCCCTTTCTGACCTGCCTCCCCACTGTTTCTGCCTCCCCACCTCACCCGCAGGGACTGCATGGCCCTCTGCTTCCTCAACAGCGGCACCAGCTTTGTGGCCGGGTTTGCCATCTTCTCCATCCTGGGCTTCATGTCCCAAGAGCAAGGGGTGCCCATCTCCAAGGTGGCTGAGTCAGGTGAGTGTTGGGGAGGCCTGAGGGCATGGATTCTGTGAGCTTTGAACCTTCGCCAACAGGCTTCCAGGGGCCTTTCTACTGTCACCTTCACTGTGGTGAGTCACCTTTCAGTGGATGCCTCCTAGAAGGCCCTGGGGGAGGACTTACAAACAGTAATTCTGGTTTCAAATGGAGAGTGGGTATTTAGTGAACATTTTTCTTCCCACCTCAATGTCTTTAGGCCACCCGTCTTATCAGGTTCATGTTTATCCCTCCAGAAATAGTTTAGGCCCATATGAGAAAAACACACACCCCCTGTATACATACACATTCATCCATGCATAGGTACCTAGTTCTATTTCTTACCCTCTTTTTAAAAACCAACTGATAATATACTATATACACTGTTCTGTCCCTTGACTTGTTCACTTTATTTTTCTTTAAGGGTTTTATTTATTTATTTTGAGAGAGAGGGCAAGGGAGGGAGAATGAGAGGCAGAGAAACATCGATGTGCAAGAGAAACATCGATTGGTGGCTTCTCTCATGCCCTCAACCGGGGACCTGGCCTGCAAACCAGGCATGTGCCCTGACATGGAATCGAACTGGCAGCTTTCGGTTTGCGAGATGACACCCAACCTAAGCCACACCAGTCAGGGTGTTTTGTTCACTTTAATATGTATCTCAGAGATAAGTTTATATTGGCTCATAGAGTTTCTTCCTTTTTTAAGTGAATGCTTTTCTGCCATGCAGGCTTGTTGTTGCTTCCTTTAAATAAAATCAAGGACTGGTCCCCTACCTAGGTAAAGCTGTAGATGTTTCTCTTGCTCTTCTCCTATTTTTGCAGACCATCCACTTGTACTCAGTAGCGAGACAATTTTTTATCATGGCAGAGTGCCAAGCACTGGGCAACTAGCATCGCTGACTCATTAAAAGTGATACTATTTTACTTTTATCAAGCACTTACTACATGCCAGGTACTGTGCGAAGCGTTCTGCCTGTACTGTGTGACGGAAAACTGTGAAGCAGGTTTTCCATCCCCACCTCACCGGTGTGGGGAGTGTGGCTTTAAGAGGTAAAGGACTGTCAAAGGTCACACATCACACTTCCCTCCCACCCCCCCCCCCCAAAGGAAGCTTCCTATGGATGAACCCAGGTGCTGGCATGTGAATCTGTCCCTGCTATTTTAAGCCCGCTAAGAGGAACAACAATTTATTTGGGAGGTTGTGTATCAGTGGTATTCTGAAATTAATGCCAGTTCATGGGTTGTAGGGTGACAGACAGAAAGGGCCCCAGGGCAGAGATGGCCACCTGGTGGCGCCAGGCACAGTCTGGTCTTGGTGGTACTTACTTTGGAACCATCCCGTCTATAGGAGCCACACAGCGATGGCCTTAGTTGATGGAGGAGCTTCGTGGCCCCAGTTGGGCCCTCCCACTCCCTCAGTTTGCCCTGGTCCAGCTTCACAAAAGCACCCAAAGACCCCTGAGTTCTTTTTAAGTTTAAAATATCTGGATTGGGGCAATAGATCTGGAGGGTGAGATGGGAGGATTTTTGGGTAGAACTTATAGAAATGTGGGCGATATGCCCCTTTCTGTTTTCCATAGCCCTTCATACACACAGCCTCAGGGCCCTATTCCTGCCAATGAGAAAACTGTGGGTGGTGTCTTGGAAATTCGGGATCAGGCAGAGGTTCGGGTGGCTTCTCCTGGGTGAGGATGGCGGTGTGACAGTAACTTAGGGTGGAGCGTGTCTGCCTGCAGCTGCTCCCTGGCCGCACACTGGGGCCGCTCGTGGCCTGCGGCCAGGCCAGGCACGGGGCTGCGTTCCTCTGCTTTCCGCTGCAGGCCCTGGCCTGGCTTTCATTGCCTACCCCCGGGCCGTGGTGATGCTGCCCTTCTCCACCCTCTGGGCCTGCTGCTTCTTCTTCATGATCATCCTCCTGGGACTGGATAGCCAGGTATCAAGAGGTGGCCCCTGGGAGGCTGAGAGATGAGAAGGTGTGTGCGGCTGGGGGAGAGGGAGCAGTGGGTGTGAGGTTAAGGCTGATGCCCTGATGGGCCTTAAAACTGTTGGGAACCTGGCGAATGTCAGACGTGGATGCCCTTCCAGGAACCGAGAGGAGCTCTGAAGGGTGGGTCCAGATGTAACCATGCAAGGACCGCCCTGGGTGCTTGAGACAGGGAGTCTGCAGGGCTGAGCCCAGGAGCAACAGGCCAGGGCTAGCCGACGGGGCTGACTCTGGGAGCTCTCTTCCCTCCAACTCTTTTGCCCTCTCCTTCAGTTTGTGTGCGTAGAGAGCCTGGTGACAGCGCTGGTGGACATGTACCCCCAGGTGTTCCGCAAGAAGAACCGGAGGGAGGTCCTCATTCTCGGAGTGTCTGTCATCTCCTTCCTTGCTGGGCTGGTCATGGTCACAGAGGTGAGGATCTGGGGGGCTTGAAGGTGGGGCCTGAGTGAGGAGGCAGAGCAAAGGCGGACAGCCGCCACCCATCATGGGGAGCAGGCACTGGGACTCTCTCCTTTCCCAACCGCAGGAAGCACCACATAGGCGAGTCCCTCCTCTGGCCTTTGGGCATTGACCACCTACTTCTGGGAATGGGTGAGGGGTAATTTGGCTCCATGTTAAACCAAGAGGTATGGAAAGATGGTCTTGGGTCAGAAAAAAAACTGCCTTTCCAGCAAGATCTCATAATTTATCAGGCAGCTGCGCCAAGTTCCAGGGATAAACTTCAAAGGGAGAAGGGAAGCCCTGGGGATGGGTGATATTCTGTGTGATGTCTCAAAGGGGAAGGAAAGAAATGGAGCTTGTCGTCTCAATAATACAATACCAATGACAGTCCTATCCCAATCTTGGCAAAAAAAAAAGTGCATATTATGCCTTGGATTTCTGTATCAATCTCTAAATGTTCTCAGGGACAATCTAATAGTCACCATTTATTCCATCTATCATCTATCCAGAAACAATAAAAAATAATTATTGCTGCATATCTGCCTAGTGCCTTACAGCTTACAAACTACCTTCTCCGTCAATATCTGTCTTCGGTGATCCTCACCAACTCTGTTCTATGCCCTGAGGGTGTGAAGCTGTCCAGCAAGGGGTTAAGTGTGTCTATTTCCTCTGGATAAAGTTTCGTTTTTCATTTCCTCCTCGGCAGGGCGGTATGTACGTGTTTCAGCTCTTTGACTATTACGCAGCCAGCGGCATGTGCCTCCTGTTTGTTGCCATCTTTGAGTCCCTCTGTGTGGCTTGGGTCTATGGTGAGTGACTCTGCCTGGCCCCAGTGCTTACCTCCATCCCAAGGCCGATAGACAAAAGAGAGACGTCCACTGTTCACACTCACCTCTTCTTGGGACTTCTCCCCTACCCGACCTCAAAAATCTTAAGAATCCGAAAATGCTACCATTGGGAGGGCCTTCCAGAGGCTGCCTTACTCAGCCTCCTGGCCATGGTTGCATCTAGACCACTGCAGGTGGTCCCGTAGCCTGTCCTTTCCAAACCTTTCAACCCATAACAGTCTTAATAATCAGAAAGTTATTGCCTTTGCTGCCCGCTGGCATTTATGCCCCTGAATCCCAGGAAAGAGCTTTCCTCCAGCAGCAACCTGTAAAGGCAACCATATCTTCTGTTCATTGGTCTGTGTGGGCCCCACCCAGATACTTTGGATGCTAAAGGATGTCTTTTGTCTCCCTTTCCTCCTCTGTGTGGTAGGAGCCGGGCGCTTCTATGACAACATTGAAGATATGATTGGGTACAGGCCTTGGCCTCTTATCAAATATTGTTGGCTCTTCCTCACACCGGCTGTGTGCACAGTAAGATAACCTTCAGGGAGGAGGCCAGATGAAGGGATAGAGAGAGAGCGGTGGCAGGAGGACAGGGAGGCTGTTAGTCCGAGAAGGGACTTCTGTGTGGGGATCGAAAGTCATTTAGATTTTCATTCATCTTCCTGTTGGATTCTAGAAAATGACAGCAAGGTAGATTTTTTCCTTTCCATTTCACAGAAGGATAAACTGAGGTCCAGAGCTGTCAGACTATTTGACTAACACCACAATGCGTGTCTAATGTTGCAGGTAGGACTGGCAACCAAGTGCATTGGGCTGCTCATAACAACACTGATAACTACAGCAATAATGATAGCAACTGTTTTACAAAGTGCTTTATACAGTTTAACCCATTTAATCCTCTCAAGGACCCCACAAAGTAAAAGTTACCGCTATATTTATTTTACAGATGAAACTGAAGCCAAAGGGGTTTATAGCACTTTGCCCAAGCTAGAGAGTGGCGGAGGGCTCAGATTCAAGCCCAGGCCACTTGGCTCCAGAGCCTGAGCCTTGAGCCACTTGTGCTGCCTCCCCTGGCTTCTCCGTTGGAGTCAGCAGTTCTCCCGAGCACCTACAATATGCAGGCTGTAAATGAGGTCTAATCTCTGCCACTGAGGTATTTGCGGCCTCACCCAATGGTGCAGGGAGGCTTAAAGAACCGAAAGCGCCAGCAGGCACACTGTTGTATCTTAATTGGGAGCCAGCCATGGGTAGAAGTGCTCAGGGTAGGTGCCCTGGAAACACCTGTTGGGGGTATGTGGATTTTGAGCAGAATGTGGACAGAGATTGGAGGCTGATTGGCCCAGATGAGCCTGGAAGAAATCCTGGGCTTTGAGTGTGATCTCTGCCAGTTCCCCCAGGGGGCGCTGAGGGCACAGGGCCCTGCTTCCCAGCCCCTGTCTCTTCTGCTCTCACCCTCAGGCCACCTTCCTCTTCTCCCTAATCAAGTACACCCCGCTGACCTACAACAAGAAGTACACGTACCCTTGGTGGGGGGATGCCCTGGGCTGGCTCCTGGCTCTGTCCTCCATGGTCTGCATTCCCACATGGGGCTTCTACAAACTCAGCACCCTCAAGGGCTCCTTCAGAGAGGTAGGGAGTTAGTGGGGAGGAACCCTAGGGCGTGATGGTGGATGGCTGCCTGCCTGGGTGGAAGTGGGTGCGCAGGGGGCAGTGAGCCTGGTGTGGGGTCAGGGAGGGACAGAGCGAGCGCTGAAAAGTCTCAGACGGAGACTGGATGCCTCCAAGACAGAGGCTGTGATTGAAGGACCGGCACCTAGAGGGTATGATTGTGCATGGGGAGACAGGCAGACATTGGTGGTTAGGGCGACGACCCCACCTGCCCGCCCCCCGACCCCTCAGCCCCACCTCATGACAGCCCCCTCTACTCTCCTTCCAGAGAATTCGCCAACTCGTGTGTCCCGCTGAGGAACAGGCCCAACGGAGCCAAGCAGGACCCTCTGCCCCTGCCACACCCAGGACGTCACTTCTCAGGCTCACAGAGCTGGAGTCTCACTGCTAGGAGGGCAGGCCCTTGGGCAGTGCCTGTGGGCCTGGCCGTGGGGGCGGCTGCGCAAGGGGAGGGCAGATGCAGCTCCGCTGCGCTTTTTCTGTCTCCCACCTGGGGTTGGTAAGATACAGGGGGTGTCCTGGAATCCACACTCTCAGCTGAGTGCCTCCGACTCCAACTTCCCTGACCCAGGGGTGGCTGAGCGGGTATGAAATGCCAGTGCCCACAGCGCCTCCTTTGAGCGGGGCTGAGGAAGATGGGTGAGGGCTGGAGGGTGGGCTGAGAGGTCTGTTTGGCTTCTGGGCCCTCTTACCCTTCATTCCATTAAAATAAAGCTCTTCCCACTGACTGCTAGCAGTTTTGCCTGGTTCCTGCCCCTCCCCGTTACTGCCTTGTCCCCTTTGTCACTTTAGAGTTGTGGCTGTAGGAGACCCCTGTCTCCTTCCCTCATTGAGCTCTCGGGGACCATGAGCAGAGGGAGTTGCTATGTGGAGAAGGGTGATAGGGTCCAGGTGAGGTCCTCCATCACCAGAAACTCGGAGCGGATTTGGGGGGCTGGTCTGTCACACTTCTGTCCATGCTTCCACTAGAGTCCCTTACCTCCTCTTTCCCTCTGTGGGACAAGAAAGGTAATGGAGCGAAGAACGAAGGATGAGTCCCGAGCCCTCGCTAGAAGAAGGATGTAGAAAGAGTGGTTGGGCTTCTGCCCATGTTTCCCTTGCCATGTCCTTGCCTGACCCCGCCTGTGAAGCCAGTGTCTGTGTGGCCTGACCATGGCCTGGTGCCAGGGGCATAAAGAGAGGGACAGCCTTGACTTTGCAGACTAGAGGCAGCAGTTACAAAAAGCCCTGGCAGAGCCGGGCACTACCCTAGCTCAGCCAGCAGAGGGACCCCGCTTCCTCAGGACCACCCTGGATGCAGCGCCGTCCAGCGACGTGGCCAGGGTTGGGATCCCAGGGCCTGAGCTGCCAGATAAATGGTTAGGGTTAGGCAGCAAAGAACACCCAGGTTGCAAGGCCAGACCTGTCCTACTTAGGGTCAGCGGGGATGGCCTTGGCCCCAGAGAACCCCACAGGTGTGTCTGTGCTGCGTGTGGAGCTGGGGCACATGTATCTGTGTGTGTGTGTGTGTGTGTAGGTGTGTGTGGCTGAACACACAGAACTGCATTTCTCCCTGAACATGTGGAGGCTTTGATGGCTGTGTCCCCAATTCTGTTCAGTGGTGCTTCTTCCGGTGCTGTCGCTGGGGAGCATCCGGCAATTCCCAGAGCTGCAGGCCGAGGGCTCACGGTGTTCCCTGGGTGGTTTTCTTAGTTTTGTTTTGTCTGCAAGTTAGTGGGAAAAAGCACCAGAACCTTTTCCAGTCTTCAGGTTTTGATGTTTTTTGTTGTTGCTGGGAGTTTGTAAGAATTAGCGGAAGTGGCCCTGCTGTCTATTGGCTGTGGTCGGTCCTTCCTGGATGGTGACGGGGTGGGCATCCTCCCTGCTGAGCCCCCTGTGCCAGGCTCAGTCACAGCCCTCAGACCGGAGGCGTTAATCTGCTAGGGAAACGTGCTGAAACTCGAGACACCGCACACCTGGCATGTCCAGCCATCTGACAATATTCCCAGAACACCTACTGTGTGGCTGTATGTTCATGATACATGAGGAGCAAAAATAGTTTCTTAAGTGACAAATTGTGATAAATGCTATGAAACAGAAGAGCAAAGCACTATGAGAAAGAACAACTGGGGTATAAAAGGAACCTGATGATTTGAGTTAGGTGGTCTGGGAAGGCCATTTAGAGGGTATAATAGCTGTCTCTCCATCCATCCATCTGACAAAAGTTGCAAGAATCTGCTAGGCCCAGGAAGGCATGTAGGCAGTTCAGTAATGGTGATTTAAACCCCACTTAGGAGATTCACTGATGGTGGAATACAGTGTGACATTTATCCGTTGGCTAAGGATTTGGAGATGTGAGTTCTCTTCCTGACCCGCCTTTATCTTGCTGTATGTCTTTTTTGGAAGTTACTTGGAATTCAGGTCTTTGGTTTTTTGGGTTTTTTTCCTTCTCATGGAAATAATACCATGCACCCCCACCCACGTACCCACCCACAGGTTTGTTGGAGGGCTCAAATGAGGCAATGAGTGTGTGAGTCTTGAAGTCATTACACCTGGTGGCGGGGGGTGGGGGTGGATGGATGAGAGGGATCTGCTCTAACAACCCAGGAGCCTGAAGGCAGAGATGTGCAAGAAAAGCTGCTTGCCTGGGTCAGGGTAAGGGAAAGTGAAGAAGAATGCCCAGCCGTGGTTTTAGCCAAGGGAGGTGTGGACGGGGCAAGCTCAGTCCCATTTGCTCTCTCTGCCTGAAAGGGCAGTCACCAGACCCTGCAGTTCTTTGAAGAAGAAGGCACAGAAGGAAGAGGAGCCCTCTCTTGCTCAGAAGCCACACCTGTTAGAGGAGAATGGCAGAGGAAGAGAGGCAGGCAGAGAGAGCCTGGCTGCGAGAGAGAGCTGAATGGAGAGACCAGAAACACAGGAAATAGGAGACTTACAGACAGGGCCCTTGGAGAGAGGGAAGTAACTAATCATGTCCCAAGCCCCCTGGGCTGCCTTCGGGCCTCAGATCTCATACCTTGGAGCTGGCTCATGTCCCAGATCCATACCTGTGCACACAGACATGCTCCTTCGTTATTGTCACATAAATGTGCGCAAGCTCAGACCCACCACTGACAGCTGAGACACTCCTTCCTGGAGACTGTAGTCCTGACGTGTGGGTCACTAGTAAGCGTCTCACTTACTAGCTCTGTGACTTTGGGCAGGTTAATTTCTCTGATCCTTCATTTTCTCCTCTATAAAGTGGGAATGAGAATACTTATATCGTTGTGTTGTTGGACCCAGGGGAGGAGAGCTGCCCTGGGAAAGCAAATCCATCCTATTGCCCATGGCTCCAGCCCCACAGCATTGGGTTGTCAATGAAACAGAAAAGCCCAGGAGTTCAGAGACACCCTTGCTGTGCTCTGGCTTCCTGGCCCCAGGCATCAGGTTGGCACTGGGCCCCAGAAAGAAGGTTGTGCATTTATTGAGTTAAGCATGTTTGCTAGGAGGCAAGCGAGAGGTAGCCCTCGAATAACCCTGCCTCCTGCGGGCCTAGTGCCTCGACATGCCGGTGGTGTTGTCCAAGAAAATCAGGACAGAGTCCGCCAAGCCCCCGTCTGTCCCCTGGCTCGGGGGGAGCAGTGCCCTCCCAGGAGAGGAAAGACTGAGGTCATTTTTCCCCTCAAGTTGCATCCATGCATCCATCTATCCATCCCTCCCTCCATCCATCTGATAAACATTGAGTGCCTACTCTGAGCCAGCACTGTTTTAAATGCTAGCAGCAGAAACAAAGAGTTATGAAGTGTGACCCCTGCTCTTTAAATAGTCAGAGTCTGGGAGACAGTATCCTGGAACAAGCATAGTGGAACAAGCATAGATTTTTGGAGCCAAGAGTCCCAGGTTCAAATCCTAGCTCCACCAGTTACTCGTATATAGCCTTAGGACACATCAGTTATCTTCTATTCACCCCAAAGTTCTCAACTGTAAAATGTGGCTAATAATTCCTACATTTTCAGGTTCTTGTGGGGATTAAATGGGGTAACATGTACCTAGCTTGAGTTAAGATGCTCAGGAAATGGGTTCCATGCCAGGCCCTCCGAAAGCAGGCATGGGGGTGGAAGACGAGAAGATTCTGTGTGGTTCATGGTTCTCACTGCAGCAAAATAACTGATTTATTTAACCATATTCCATCTTGTCTACGGACCCCTCCCAGTCTGGAAACAGCTCTGTCTTAGGTAGGCTTTCCAGGTAATTTAAGGACCCTGTCTTTTGCACAGATGGGGATCTCTGGCCTCTAGGAGTTTACCAATTGGTCTGAATACCCAGTGGGGGTTGGGAGTGGTGGTGGGGGTAGGGAGTGGGGTGGGCGTGAGTAAGTGAGAGCTCAAGTTAAAAGGAGGCCAGGTCACAGGAGGCAGCTGCTCTCCTACAAGGTGAAGGAGAGGTGACAAGACCGCTGGACCATGCATATCCTCAGGTCCTCGCAGAAAGCCTGACACATTGTAGGCATGAAATAAAATCTGTGAATGAATGAATGAGCTAGGAAATTCAGCCTCTGTCTAGTCTGATTCTCTTTGTTCTCTCTCCCCTTCATGGACAGGCTGGGTGGGTACTTTGTTCTGGAATAGCTGCAAGGACTTTGGTGTCCCCTCTGCAGTAAGCTGCGTGGGCAGCACACGGTGGCCTGCCATGTGGGGACAGGGCAGACGCAGCAGTGCCGGTCACAGCACACGAGGTGAGCACAGGGGGGACTGGAGCACGAGCTCCAGCCGCTCTGCCTGAGCTGCCCCCAGCCCACCTGTGCTCTCCCAGAGGCAGAGGGCTGAGAACTGAGACTCAGTCTGGGTTTCCCTCGACGGGGAAACCCACAGGAGGTGCCGAGAGGGGCCTGAGATGCAGTGAGGGGGGTGCTTGATGGAAAATTACAGACTGTGATTCTCACTTCAAACCCAGCCCTGCCGGGCAGCTCTAAAATACAAAGGGGAAGCTCATGCAAAGGGAAATTTCCCTTTCTTCCCACAACTTCCCCTCCTCCACACCACCTAGAGCTGACAAAGCATCTTCATTACCTTAAACGAGACACTGGCTTCATGACTCAGTGGGCCTGGGATGGCCCCGGCTCCAGCACTGTGAGAGTATGCTTGGAAGTAGGGGCAGGCCCCTGTTCTGGGTGAGCTCATGGGCGCACAGCTTGGGACACACACATTATGCAACACAGTTCACTGACAGCTGCCAAGCAACCAGGCAAGTCTCGGCTGTGTGCGTGAATGCTGAGAGGTGACCAGAGCGTTGTCGTGCTGCCTGGGCCCACGTACTCTCCCACCCCAGCCCCAGCTTTCAGGGGACCCACAACAAACACGTCCACTCCCCCGAGCACCTCTGTTATCCTCAGCAGTTTGCCCTGTTGCTTTTGGCCCTCACAGCAGCTCTGCGAAG